GGGGGAAAAGGGGTCGACCAACGTGCCAATCCACTTTAGGCCCTGGAGCTACCGCTTCAGGAGCTCCGGAGGAGACCCACATCGTCCCACGTCTGAAGCCTTCAACTCCTCGCGCCGCTTCTTGGCCTCAGCCTGGGCAGAAACGAACGGGGTCGTCCTTGGGCCTGTGGAATGGGCAAACTCGCGACCTCGCCCTTTCAACTCGCTGCGCCCTCGCCCTTGTTCCCCCCACATCTTCGCCTCTTCAGCCTCCACCTCTTGCTTCGATGCTTCCGCCTTCGCGAGCTCCGACCTCGCCCGGTGGCCGTCGCTTCGATGCTTCGTGTGGGCGGCGTGGGCGGCGTGAAGGTGGCGGCGTCACGGAACGGTGGCGGCTCGGTGAACGGTGGCGGCTCGGTGAGGTGCGGGTCGAGTGCGGCCGGTGGCCATTGGGGAACAGTGGCGCCAGGGTCCAAAGAAACGGTGACGAAGAACACATTTGAGTTGAAGCAAATTAATTCAGAAGTTCGCGCAAAGGTGATGCTATGGATTGCTGTGGAACCCCAATTCCAACAGTAAAGCTGTTTGGTGGAAAAATGGGGAAAACATATGTGAATTAACAGAACACACAAGTAATAGAAAAACAAGAACATGAGACAACACGCTTATTGTATCTTCTTGTTATTTTTTAGTTATATATATATATTTATTTATTCAAACGTAATAACCATCTTTTGGCTGGGCTCTCCGAGCTCCCGGGAGCTCCGCTCGGCGCTCACGTGCTCTTCCTCGGTCTCTGCCTCATTGTGCCTCAGAGAAAAGACGTGGGGAATGAGGCAGAGAACAAGAAAATATTTTGAATATGTACCTGATAGCGATGGCCTCCAACCTAGTAGCAATTTAAGAAATAAATGTAGACAACATGTAAACTTCCTGCCAATTCCAAGAAGTTGTTCTGTCAATTCACTAGAGTTTTCTGTATGTCTAACCCAAACCATCTGCCACCCATCCTGCAAATTGGAGATATGTTTTTCTTGGGGTCTGAAATGGATCACTCAAACTGACAAGTGATAGCAGTTGTGGAAACAGTCAGTGAAATTGGAATGGGAATGAAATAGATCACCCTACTACTGCCACTGACATTAACATCTTTATCACTCCTTCTGCTTCTATTGCGACGGCTTTGGGAAAACTATTGGACCTCAGAGTTTCCTCCTGGGGGAACCCTCAGTTGGACTCCGAAGAGAGAACGGGTGAAAAATCAAAGTACCGTACCAAGAAGCTAAAGTCCGCCGTCGGTGAAAAAAATCCTCAACCTCCAGTGAACACTGAACATGAATGGAGTAAACTATTTGGAGACGTGCAGCTCCCAAATGGGGGCCTTTAGCTGGTCCAAATGTCGGAGAACCCCCCCAGCTCGACCCTGAGAATAGAACGAGTAGATCGAAACATATACTATATACAAACAATTGAACAACTCCTTGGCAAGGTTGGGTATTTCACCCATGTTGCATTCAGATGTCAATCAAGATCTTCGGCTATCTAAGCCTTCTCCAATGCAAACTGCCACGACCAGTCACTCACAACTTGAAACAATGTCTTAAGAAACAAGAACGCTTGTTCAGTTCCTCCTCTACGAACGGTCTGACAAAGGAACAGAACAGTCCCTCCTCCATGTTCAGTTCCTAGTCATCACAGTCTGGAATTCTTCCATTCTGAAATGTTCAGTTAAGTCTTCCTCTGTTTCTTCCTCTGCCTTTTCGTTTAACCATTTAACTCCATTGGGCCGTCCGGCTCCTTCACCTGCACCTCCACCTGGCTTTCAGCCTCTGCTTTCGCCAGCGTGGCCGCCGCCAAACGCCCCAAGGCCTCAAAACACCGGCGTCAGCATCAGCTCAGACTTCGTTTGGGGCACCAAGGTGCACCAAGGTACAGGCCCCAAGTCACCCAAGTCAGCCGAGAGTTTGTTTTGACATAGCCTAAAGAGAGATCTGAGATGAGGTCTTAAATGCAATGAGAAGATGTGGGACTTTGCTACTCCTGGCGGCACCGCTTGGAGGGGAGACCGCTCGGTGAGTCCCCACTGAAGCTCAAACCTGTGCCGTGCTATGTGACATAAACCAAAACGATCGGGAGACGGATGTTCTCCGGTGCAATGGTAAGGGATTGTGAAAACTACGTATACCAGAATTGGGCCAAGTCCCATCGTTTCCAGTCCGAAAGCCGGATCTGAGGACCTTCCATGGCGGATGGGTCACCTTTGAGGTTGGATGTTCGAGCCATCCATTCATCATCCGGCGCTTGGACCCTTGGCGGGAGCCACCAGATTTGAATGACCTAAGATGTATCAAGATCCCCCTGCGCCACCTTGGTGACAGCGCGCTGGCGCCCGCCCTGCCCTAGCTTACAAGCTCCGTCAGAACAGGGGCATTCGGTGGCCCAAAGAAAGGAGGCGCTTGGCGCTGGGGATCTGGTGCTTGGAGACAGCTGTCCGACAGCGGAACCGAGACACACACGCACACACGCAAGTTGGTGAGTGGAGGAACGTGGAGATCGGGCGCTGGAGCGACCCAAACCCTTCCAACATGCAAACAGGACATGGAACTGCTACAGTAGAAGCAAAGTATAGCATAATAATATGTGAGAAGGTATATAAGAGTACGTACAAGGCCCCTGGCCTTGGAAGATTCTCACGGGACCCCAAAGGCGGCACACTTGGATGTGGAGTAAGATCGAATAGCAACGCTTGTTGGAGATGTGTACCTTCCCCTTTTGCTCCCAGAAAAAACACTCATATGGTCTCAGAAACCGATAGAACAATAGGAACATAGATGTAAAAGCAGTCCAAGACATTCTTCAAGTGGAACAGAATCTAGGCGTTTCTGAGCTCCTTTCTGTTTGGACATCACTTTGTACCGCCGATCCGCTCACAGCTCGCCCATGCTCGGCGTCGCCTTCCGGTGTTGCAGGCCCGCCTTCCCTTGCGCCTGCCGGCGAGACGGGCAGGGGAGCCGGTCCAAGTGGGACCCAAACAGACTATAGTGACTCAAAAAGGAAGAAAGCCAGCTACCATCGGATCCAGCACGGGTGTCCATGGTACCCAACACTCCACGGTGCAGATGTCATTCGAACTCGGTCGGTGTCGACACCGAGACACCGGTGATCGTCTGGCCGCCCACCGCGGGGTGAAACCCATGCGTGCTAGGCTCTGCCAGACGTTTCTGGCCCACGCGTGCAACAAGTGCAGCTTCTCGCCAAGCAAAAAGGGGGCGCACACATTCCCATGAAAGAACAAATGCTCCACATGGCCGATACACAGAGACTCACAAACATGGAAGTGGAAAACCCTGAGTTTGTTGGGTTGAGGATGGAATCTTCCAAAAAACGATCCCTGTCACTTCCATGCGATATGTTTGTGACAAAGCGTACCTCGGCCCCGTCCAACATGTCCGAATGGCACCAACATTTGCCCATCTCTCATGCTCACAGCGCGATGGGGATCGGCCAACCGTGTCCGCGCCTCTTTGCTGCCTTTCACCGTTTGCCACACTTTGGGCAGCTGTCGGAACGCGCTCTTCACCGAGCTTTGGACGGCCTTGACCTGTCGTGGAACCGCAGCTTTGGAGTTCTCGCACGAGCGAAAGAAGGCGAAACCTTCAGTGGTTAGAAGTAGGTCAAAAAGGCAGAGTGTTGGTGTCCCAAAGCGACACAAAACCAAGGTAGGCAAGAGTGTTACAGAGTGCTTTGATTTTTTCAAGGTCCAGAGTCCAGTGAAGAATGAAGAACTCTCCTACCTCAACCACTCCAGATCTCAAGCGGTGAAAGCTGCTTGAGACATACCATATACCATATACCGACCTCTTAGCAATAATACTTTGGAATCAAATAGGTTCGAACTGGTTCAGGCAGTAGAGGGATCCAAATGGCACTAGTATGTTTGGATCACGAATCCCTCTGATGTGCAAACTGACTCCCAACCCGTTTCCCTGGAAAACGCAGGTTGACCTTCTCTTTACCTGGTCGCTTCGACCAGTGGAGAGGCCAATCCCCTCAAAAAGGCCGGGGGGTAGGCAAACGGCTGACTGGTAGGCTTGTCCATGGCCAGAACTGCCAGAACATAGTACAAAACCAACACTCCTTGGGGATCACAAACTTTCTGGACCTGCGGTCTGGGGGATGGTCATACCCTGGCTATGTGATGTTGGTCGCTACATGTCGCTACATTTCATGTTCTGACTGCTCACTTCTCCTTTACTTCACTAGTTCCATCATGTTCCATCTTCGCCAGATCAAGAGTCGCACGTACCATAGCCGCCTGCTCCATCTTCACAGGGCGCTTCTGTGTCTTCTGTAGAGACTCGGCAAACCACATGCCGGCCTGATGGTTTTCGGATGATCTGTTCAACCGCTTTATGCACTCTGGTGTGGATGCGGGGCCTCAGCCCCCTCTCCAATCGTCTGTTTTTCGGAGCTGGCATTGTGGATGGACGTGGAGATGTCTTCAGGTTTGTTGAAAGTTGAAATCCCAAGGCATATCAAAGCGCATATTACAAGTAGTTCTTGTGACCTTCATCCGAAGAAATAACTTGTAGCAAAGAATTTGCGAAGGAACATAAAAGCTTGAGTGGTGGCAGGGCATGATGCATTGAATGTGACTTGTGTATCTGCCCGTATGCCATTTTGGCGAAAAGGCATTGTGTCCACCGGTGTCACCATGTTGGAAGCCCTGTTGGGGCTGACGTTCGTGCTGGGACTTTTGGTGGGCATTTGCTGCGCTCGCTGTTGTCCAGTGTTGGCATCTACGTCTTCTCAGGTGACCACGGTGGATTCCCTAGTGCTTGGTGCCGAAGCATTTTCTGCACTGCATGGCTCTCAGCATTCTGCCCACAGCGACTGAACTGGGAACACTGACGTCGTTGCCAGAAGTGAGGGCATGGTCAGGAACTCCAGAGGCCACATGGAAGGCAGCTAGTACTCATTTGGGAGAAGTCACGACTTTGAGATTGTTGGCTCTGACCCCAATGGATGTTTACCGGACTATGCTGGATAGAGTGCGGATTCCCGTCACTCGCCCTGCTGGTGCCACTACAGATCCCCCTCCTCGTGCTGCAACGGCGGTGGAGGTCATCCAATTGGCGGTGATGTGGAGGGTGGCTAGGTTGGCATTCTCATTGCCTGACATTGACATCTTGGCACCCTATCCAGCAGGCAATGCACAGATTCAGGCGGCTGGTGCACCTCTACAAGCAGTGGCCATTCCAAAGGTTCAGAAGGTGAAGATGTCAGTTCATTTGGATCAGATGGATGAGAACGAAGTAGAGCTGGTATCTAGGACTGTGCTTGAAGAATGCTACAGATGTTACAGAGAAACCACAGGATCAGATCCCCTTCCTGAAGCAGACCCAACTATGGAACAGGTGTCAGCGATGCGTGCCAAAGTGATTGATCGACAGGAATCACCTTACGCTGACTTTTCAGTGCTGGTTCCTTACGGGAAGGAGTTGCAGAAGAACATGAAGGCTCGGTCGTGGTTGCTTCAAGAGGATGGGTCGTTCAAGGGCATCGACATACCTGGCCCACCAGGGTACTCTGCATGGTTGAAGTGCTGGAGAGTGTATCGAACGGTTCTACTAATGCTGAGACATGCTCCTGTACCACCTCATGGTCCAAAGCCTGTTGTCACCATTGCTTGCTTGGAAGAGTATGCAGACAAGATTTCGGAGCTATGTGCTGAATTTCCTGAGTGCTGGCATCTGGTGTGGCAAGCAGAAGACAGGTGTCGTCGTGATGAGCTGGAGCGGATTCGCAGATCCTTGGTTCGTGCACGAATTGAGGGAAACCTTCCGATGAACATCAGGTTTGATCCTGATCAGCCATGGGTTGGTGTGTTCACATATGCTGCTCGTGATGGTGAGTACTGGGCAAAGCATGTCACCAGACCTGCCCAGACCTTTCTGGCCCGAGGTGGGTCAGGAAGGAAGATGACACGTGAAGCGGCTGAGAGTGTCATGCTGGACAAGGACATGGTCAAGATCACTAGTGGTGGAGGTGCTGGTGTTCAAGGTGAGCCTGGGCAGGGTCAGTCGCGAAATGCGCGAAAACGTCGTGCCGAAAAGCAGCGACAGGATGAGGCGAGGAAGTGGAGCTCTACGGCATCCAAAGGAGGTTGGGAGAACTCTGCGTCCAGTTGGGCGCCAAAGGGTTCAGGAAAGACACAGTCCCAGAAAGGCATGCATCCCAGAAAGTATGGCCAAACCTTCGTGACCACACGCGAAGGGGATGAGATCTGCTACAAGTTCAGCAAAGGTGCACCTGGGGCATGCAGCGAACCATGTGTCGACGGCAGGACTCATTGCTGTCAGTATTGCCTGGGTGCTCATCCCAACCAGCAGTGCCAGAAGAGAGATGGCAAGAGCAAAGGTGGGGGGGGTAAGAACCCCGGCAAGTGACAGGAGGAGGAGATCGGGTGTTCGGTCTGGTCTGAAGATGATGAGGCTGAGCTCACGGTTGTGCATGACAATGACTATAGTTTGAATTCGAGTCAATGTGAAGAAGTTGATGTACAGCAGCAAGCAACTGACCAGCAGTTGCCCAGGCGGTTTCGATTTGGTGAATTCTTTGCAGGCATGGGTGGATTGTCCACAGCGATGATGTTTGTTCTGGAATCTTGGATCTCTTTGGGCAGCATTGAGAGAATGGATGCCTATGAGGACAGTTGGAACATTCTGAATGATGGCGACTTTGCGAAGAGCAAGGAGCTTTGTCAAACTGGTCTCGATCATGGCCACTTTGCCCCGCCATGTCGTACATTGACTGAAGCCCGCAGAACAGATGAGCATGGTGCCGTAGCAATCATGAGATCGCCCATGTGGCCTGAAGGTTGGGGCCACCCAGACGCCATCGAAGCGAATGAGATTGTCACTCGCATGGTGGTCCTATGCTTGCTGTTGCACAACTCAGGCAAGACGTTTGCGATTGAGAACCCGTTCAACTCGTTCCTATGGTTGCTCAAGGACATGCAGAAGCTCATGAAGTTGAGGACTGCAGAGCTGGTGCTGTTGCACCAGTGTTGCTATGGGGCCCAAACTATGAAGCCCACTGGACTGCTGACAACGGCTCCTTGGATGAAGATGGTGAGGAGTTTATGTCACGAAGTGAGGGCACATCGCCATTTGACAGAGGGGCTTGTTGGCAAGGTCTGGAGCTATCTGGATGAAAGGGTAGTGTGGAGGTCTTCGTTGGCTGCGGAGTACCCGTGTGGCTTATGCATGGCATGGGCTGAGGCTTTGAAGAAGTGGCTGTTTTCAGATGAGGGCATTCACTGGATGAGACGAAATAGTTTGATTTTGGTTGGCAAATGGGGAAACCAACTTGTCAGAGCAGACTTGGTCGAGAAGCAGGCGAACGAGCACAAACCAGTTGCGAGCTTGGCATCGGTCAGGTCTGAGGAGAACAACAAGTGCATTGGTGGCTTGAGGAGTGCAAGGGCATCAGTCATGAAGTCCAGGTCGCTTCGGAAGCTGGGCAAAAGAGTGAGGAAGCTGTTTGAGTCCAAGCGAGATGATCGAGTTTTGGCTATGTGGGAGGAAAATGTTCAGAATGGATTGCCTGAAGAATGGATCAACGAGAACAGGTATGCCCTAGCACAGGAGTTTGGTGTGCAAATCAACGTGGGTGGCGGATTCCAGTCTTCACTTTGGAAGGCATTGCTGGTGGAGGCTGAAGATTGTGAAGCTCAGTATTTACCAGCTTGGATGGCTGAAGGGTTTCCGCTGGGAATCCACAAGCCGATCACTCCATCAGGGGCGTTTCCACTGGTGGAAGGTGATACTTCAGCAGTGGAGGCTTCGCGGGCAGAAGGCAGAGTCATGCATGATCTTGATGGCAGTCATTCAAACTACATCAGTTTTGAGGAGGCTGGTATGAAGGGCCAAGACATCTTGGACGACATGGTGCGCAAGGGTCGTGCAGTTTGCTACTACTCTTGGGATGATGTTGTCAAGACACTGGGGCCTGAAGCAAGACTCACAAAGCTTGGTTGCATCGTGAAGCTGCGTCCGGACCACACAGAAAAAGTGAGGATCATAGTTGATTCAAGACGCAGTGGAGTCAACGGGCTCACTTCAATACATGAACGCGTGGTTCTGCCTCGAGTTACAGACATCACTAGCACGTGGTATCGGTTGACCAGATCGCATGAAGGTTCCAAGGTGATCGAGATGATGACTGCGGATTTCAAGGATGCCTTCAATATGCTGCAGTTGGCTGATGCTGAGAAACCAATGGTCATCGTGAAAGGCATGGATGGCGAACAGGGTCAACCCAGGTACTATGCGTTTCAAGTAGTCGTTTTTGGACTGGCACCTGGCCCATTGCTCTGGGGGCGAGTTGCAGCAGCGGCCATGAGATTGGCGCAGGCGCTGATGTTGCCTGACGAAGCTGAGGTGGCAACGTTTGTGGATGACCCACTCATACTGGCAGCAGGCGCTACCAAAAGAGAGCGCACGTGGTCGTTTGCAAAATTTGTGGTTCTCTGGTTGGTGCTTGGATTGGAACTTTCATGGCCCAAGGCACACCGTGGCTTTGAGGTGGACTGGATTGGGTTTAGTTTGAGCATTTCCAACAAGCAGGGCGCTTGGGCCATTCAGGTGCAGCTCATGGAAGCGAAGAAGGAGAAGCTGAAGGCTGTGGTTGACGATTTGATCAGTCACAAAGGAGTGCTACCGTTGGCCAAGCTTCAGTTGGCAGTGGGCATCTTGGGCTGGATCACATCATCTATGCCCATGGCAAGACCTTTTGTGGCCATGATATGGGCAGCCATCTTGCAGCATGACAGACCTAAGGCTTCCACAACCAGGGTGAGAAAGGGGCTGGTCTTTGTGAAGCAGGTTCGCCACGCACTTCAGTGGTTGCAATCCTTGTTGTGTGAGTTCGATGCTCGTCACGGGGGGCTGAAGCGCACAGTGAGATGGCGACCATTTGCACCAGTTGTAGTTATTCAGACAGATGCATGTCCAACGGGATTAGGAGGTTTCATCATGGTCCACAACAAAATTGTTGCATATTGGTTTGACAAAGTCACCAATGAGGATCAAGAGGTTTTAGGTGTCGTTTACGGGGATCCCTCTTTTCAAAGCGAGTTAGAACTTTTAGCTGTCCTTGTTTCGCTTCGGGTCTTCAAGCGATGGCTCAGTACAGATTCAGGGCCTGCTGGAATCTTGTTGAAGACTGACAACACTGCCACGCTTCAGGCTGCAATGGAATTGCGTGGCAAGTCAGTGCTCATGGCACAGCTAGCTTCAGAAGTGGCTTTAGAAATTGAAGCCATACAGGTCCCATACCTATGGGGCCAGCATGTGGCAGGGATCCTCAATGACATTGCTGACAAACTTAGTCGTATGCATGAACACTCAGCGGTGCCAGCTGAGCTCAGTGACGCGGAATGTGTCACAGGGCCACTGCGCACGGTAGACTTTTACAAGTCATGGCAGCTCACCAGATAAAATTTGAGGTGGTCAGGGTTGCGTGATGTGCGTGCCGTGCCCATGAGTTGTGGCCATGTGCAAGCCATTGTGCACCTGATTGTCTTGCCTACGGGCTCACACGGGTCATGATAGCTGTGGAGCAGTTCCCTGGCCTAGGACGGCGGTGCCTGGCAGACACAGTTTGGGAAACTCAGGCGACAAGTCATATAGGAGATAAGTAGGCCTGAGTGACCTTGATAATTGGAATTGAACTAGGCAAGTAAATCGGTTGTGAGCTTGCGGGTGAGTTGATTTGGACTGGTAAGCGGATTGCGAGTTGTGTTGCCTTGTGATTTTGTGTTGTGTTGATTGTTGTGTTTCTTGTCTTTCGTTGCGTTTCTGTTTGTTTGCTGTGCTTGTTTCCCTTTGCTTTGGCTTGGAAACGTAAACTGTTGTGACGCGTTTCGGTGAGGCGAAGGGTGATTGAGGCGATTGGAATTTGAATGAATTTGAACTGATTTGGATGGGTTTGGTTGGATTTTGATGGGAGTCTGAGTTGTGATTACGTTCATGTTGTGGACTTGGTTGATTGCCCGACCACTGAGGTCAGAACATCTACGGAATCATTGGAGGATTGGAGGACTTGCCTGGGCTGGGACAGTGCCAGCTTGGATTGCTAGGCATTGTCTTAAATGCTCAGGATATTCATGATATAACTGGTAAGTAGCATTAAAAGCAGAATTCAAGCGTGAGCTCATGGACGAGTGGAAGTTTCGCTATATTTAGGTTCAATAGCAAAAATGTGGGCAGCGATTAGATGGGTTAAGGGCCGGAAACAGAAGGGTCCTTATGTGAGAAGAGAATTGCCTGTGGAACCTGAAGGGCTGCCACCTGGGGTAGTTGCGGCCAGAGCTGAGTTGCGCAATGGCTTGTGTCGTGGGTGTGCCGTTGTTCCGAGGGGGACCGGTGTACCTGCTGACCATTTTGCATTGCCTTCTAGCTCTTCAAGTTCTGCTGCTGTGGTCACTTCCAGCGTCAGGGCCCCTGAGACACCTGGGGCGCGATCCGCTGCACCAGGCACACCAGGGCTTCGGATGTTGGAAACAACAACTGAAGCGGGTGAGTCCAGGATTAGGACACGTCCCATGGGCCCATGGATTGCCAATCCTGAACAGGAAAGGTTGGCACGTGGGTCAGCAAGGCTCGCTGTGGACATTGCTGGCTCTAGTGATAGGACAAATCAAGCGGTGAGCAACTTCAAAGACTTGATCTATGCGCCTTCCACCTCTGCTTCCAAGGAAGCGCTGTTTGGGTTGTGGTCCAGAATTTGCAAACGAAGAGGAGTAGAGCCGCTGCCTTTGACACCTGAAATGATCGTTTGTAACTCTGCCATTTTGAGAGAGGCAGGGTACAAGAGCTTGATGGCATATGTGCATGAGGCACGTGACAGGCACTCCAGGGCTGGCTTCCCTTGGACGGCGCAGCATCAGAGTGCTCTATGCGATGCCAAGAGAGCGAGCAAACGAGCACAGGGTGAGGCCAAACGCGCTGAAGAGATTCGTGAGGAATGGTGGGCTTGGCTGATCAACGCGTATGGGCTGTATCCTTTCCAGGAAGGTGCAAACGAAGATGCGCCCAAGGATGCGGTGGACATGATGATCATTGGCCATCATTTCCTTCTTCGTGAGGTTGAGTTGAGCTCTATCTTCTTAGATCATTGGTGCATTCGGATTGATATCCATGCCCAAACTGTAGGTTTGTTTTTGCCGGTGTCCAAGACTGACCCAGGTGGTCAAGGAGTTTTAAGGACCTTAGGATGCATTTGCAAAGCGACCAGAGACGTGCTTTGTCCTTATCATGCTATGAATCGAGTCATCGGGCTTCAACTGCGCCGAACTCGCTTTGAGAACCTGGATGATGTCCCTTTGGCATGGCTACCACTTTTTGGCCAGAAGGGTGATTTCAATGCACCGGTGTCGAAGGTTGCCTTTGTCAGAGAACTGCAGCGTCTTGCCTATCTCATTCTTGTGGGTTATCCACAAAGACTGAGCATGGTGCCGGATGAAGTCACTGGCCACTCTTTGAGGAGGAGTGGAATCAAGGCCTTGGCCAGGAAGGGAGTTTCTTTCACGGCAGTACAATGGTTGGCCCGACACAGCTCCAGCGTCACCATGCTGTACATGGAGGAAGCTTATGAAGAATCACCTGAAAGGCAGAGAACAATGTTGGATGCGAGATCAATTGGTGAAATGCTCACTGAATTGGTTGGCAAGCAGGAGACCATGGAGAATGCTATGAACCGAGTTGAAGCTGACCTGAGAGGCAGGTTAGAAATGCTTAATTCAAACCAGCACATTTTACATGATCGTCAGCTGTTGCGTTTTGAGATGCGTAGGGCCATGATTCCACAAGGGGTCATAAACTTGGACCGCCAATGCTTGCATGTGGTGAAGGTTTCAACATGCTTTGATGTGGATCCCACACGTTGGACAACGAAGTGTGGGTGGAGCTGGCTTAGGGCAAGTTCTAGTGCGCAACCGATTTTTGATGATGTAGAATTTGAGATGTGCGAAGCACAGCAATGCAATAAGTGTTTCAATTTGCAGTAACAGTGCTTGGTTAACAATTCAGCAGAAAAGGGAAGGTGAGAGGAAGTTGTAGATGTGGTCTGTGTTGCTTCTTGAGGTAAGAATGCGACATTCTGCTTCGTGACATGTGTCTCTAGGGCAGGGACCATGGTCATGAATCATGGTGGCATCACTTGAAAGGAACAGCAGGCAAAGAAGCACAACTTCCACCACCTTACGAGGAAAAGAGGCGCGTACCGAGGCCTTGGGTGAACTTGCAGGGTGGTTGGGTGGGGGCACTTGAGCTGATTGTTATGGAATAGAACTACAGAACTGCGAACTTAAGTCGATCCGCCAAAAAAGAAAACTCGAACGATCTTGAATGGTTGATGGGGCACATCCTCAACCCAGCAGTTTGGCCTGACTCCCGATCCGTTTCCCTGGAAGATCAAGCACCCTTTTCCACCTGTTCCATCTGTAGATGGCGACATCCCCTCCCCCAAAAGAAATAAAGCTAATCCACGACATCCTCAGTAGGGATGGCTGGTGTCGGGGTACATCCAACGACCCATCCAACGAGCCCCCCACCGACCCGTCGTCGATCCCTCGGCCTCAACGAAATTCTGCACCGCCTGAAGAACCTCGGCAGAAAAAGAGGCCTCCAAGCCTGAAGGACCCTCTGTGTATAGGAAGAGATTTGGCCTATTCGCAGGGCCCAGTGGACGATGATGGTTCAGTTGCAGGCCTTGTTCATAAATAACTAATTATATAGTGATAATTGCTTACTGACTGCTACAGGCAAGTACTAGGACAGACCCAATGTTTATAGTGGAAGAGAAGTGGAGAAGTTTCCGAGAAGACGATCTCTGGCCCCACGATGAATCCAGAGTTGAGAGGCTTGGTATGGCTTGGTATGGCTTGGTGGTTATTGTGAATATACTCCTTCAACACTTTAATCATCTTTTTCTCGCCAAAGGACTTCACCCAAAGGCGGAGTCAACATTTCGGAAGTCAAGCCTAAACCCACTGAGCCCCACTGGGGTGGTTTTAGGGACACCCCATAGTTCACCTCTGATGTGCTTGATGGAACCCCCAGGTTTTTGTGGGATGGGTACGTCCCGTTCCACGGGTCCGGATATCAAACAATGAAAACTCAAGTCGGTGTATCATCGGCGTGCCCTTTCTGGCTTTGTGGATGACCTTGGGGGTTTTCACTTTTTGCCTTAGCTCGCCATAGACTTGCGGCAAACAAACGCAGGCGAGGCGCTGCTTCCCGAGAGGTCTCGGCACGTTGCTGCGCCTTCAACGTGCAAATCTGTGCCCATTTGCTCAGTGTTGATCTACGAGTCGTTCCTATTGAAGCTATTCGTGGTAGGTAGCAATACACTGAAAACCTGATCAAGGACGAAAATATCTTTCTGGGTCGGTGTCGACAAGACAAGTCCCGCTCAATTGGTACCCATTGTCATCCATTGTCCATTGACTTGCTGAGGGAGACAACTATTTTGATAATCTCAGAAAAAAACTGTGCGAAATACGACTTTCAAGAAATTACGACTTTCAGGGCTACACAAAATTAGGAAAACACATCTTCATTGATACGTATATAGTCATAGTCCATGCCTGCCCAAGGTTTGATATATGATACAATTGCAAATCAACCAGTCTGCAGAACCTCCAAAGTCATGAAGCTCCTGTTTGGCTGATCCAACTCGAGTGAAGACCAAAATGCAAACGTTCTAAACAATTAACAAATTGGCCACCCCCGCAAATGGATGCTGTTGCTGTGCCTAGGTCTAGGTACATCTCGGTTTTCCGAGTCCCTCAATTCCAACGGTCTGGGTTGTGTTCATCGGTTATGAAAGCTCAGACCGTGGTCAAAATAGAGCTCTTAAAACACTTTCCATGGGAGTTTAATCGATTTTGTGACCTTCCATCTTCAGGGAAATACACGGCGCCCCATACAGAACCTGGATTCCATTCGCACCATGGCACTCTTCAGTGGATCTTCAATGGGATCCTGAGATCTTTCTATCCAGGGAAGATGAAAAGAGAAAAGCACCAATCACCTACCCATCACCCCGTCTTCACTGCTTCACCTCATCCTCATCAAATCCTGATGCAAAAAAATAAAACAACCTCCGCTTCCCGGTCTGCCCGTCTCCTCGCGCGCCTTGGTCACCAGCTGCTCCAGCCGATGTCGATCCCTTTCTCGACCTGGCGGTGAGCGGCGTGGTCAGCGGCGCGGTAGAGCCGAGGGAAAAGAGGTCGGTGACGATCAGCTCTTCCGGTGGATGAATCACCACGACCCCCCACAGCCTGGACAGGTGCCCTCTGACTCAGTGGACAACCACCTGTTTGTAGAGGAGCATAGTCCTCCAACGGGCCATTTTCCACTTCCATGTTGGTTTGGTGAGTCAGAGATTTATAAAAATTTTTGTATGTTTTAAAAAGCATGTTTAGATCCGGGGA